CAATATTTTAAAACTCGCCATCCGATATCCTTCCCTACCTTTTGTAAACAAAACAATGATGCTGTTTTATTTTCGTACATGTAATAACTGAGTTTCGTGTGTAGATGAAGCCAGAGTATGAAAAGATGTCATTACACTATGAATTATTCATTTCTGTGCATGATTTATCGTTTCCTCATATTTTTTTTTTATCTTTCTCCCAAGATATAAAATGTCAGACAATATGGCTAGTCAATCCACGGGAGTCAGGGAGGAATTCACCGAATTAGACTGGATTACGCTGAAGAGTGATATTGGCTCGGAAGAGATCATACACACGGAGACTGCTGGCGAGAAGTTCAAGAGGAAGTTCAAGGAAAATCCTCTTGTTCCCATTGGTAAGATATCACTTTTAGGCATTTGTTTAAGTTTTTGATTAGTGTTTTGTGCTTACGTTTCCTTTTTTCCTTTTTCTATTTTTTTCTTTATTCTTTTTTCTTTTTTTTTTTACTTTGTTTTTGCACCCTTTTTGCCCAATTCATTTCTTTAAGAAGTGTATTTATGTTGTTTTTTCATTAGTGTTACTATGTATTATTTTGCGTGGGAATTTTCTTTCCATAGCCCAGTAACTATAAAGCAATATTTACTATAGTATGGGTGATGAGAACATACACAGTTATCATAAGGGATTTCAGACATACTTTAAGTCTCCTGTATGTTTTATTTTATTTTTATTTTTATTTTTTCTGTTTCTCCAATTTTTATGAATATGCCAAGAATATGTTTCGATTTCTTGATTACTTAGCTTTTGAGTTAAACAAGTGTAATGTAATCATATTTGTTGAACCACTAAAAGTTTCGAATTTCAACATTTCCACGAGCGTACAAAGTGCGTGTTTGGGGGGAGGGGCTTAACCCACTTACACGCTTTTTTCAAACTCCATCAAAAATGTCGATGTCAGATCATATTGAGTGCTCTGTACCTGTGACTGACATTGATACCTGGCCCTGATACTTGTCCAAATTGAAAATGATCCTGATACTATCTCAAGTGAAAATGAGCCCTAATTATGAAAATGATCCCCTATCGAGGTTTTAGGGGGCAGTATGACCATTAGGAGCATTTTCACAGGACTACCGTGTCTGTTCAAGGTCACATCTGGCATCAACATTTTCAAGTGTTCTCTTAAGCCTAGTGCAGACCAAGATACATTGTATCGAAATGAACAACAATATATCTGCGGTGTCCCGATACAGTTGCTCAGCAGCTGAGCAGCATTCCAAATTTGTTGCTATCTAGTTTAACAAAAGTTGTGTAAAGATTCTGAAACATGAACGACTTTATCCTGCGATTGTTGTGAGACACTCGCGAAAAACTGGCACCTATTTGTATCTAAATTAATGGTTGCTGAACAGTTGCAGACTGTAGTACATTCAAACCAGACTGCGCTTAACTTCCCACAGGCTGGGAATGGAATTTAACACCTCAATCCGTCCATGTGTCTTTTCTGTTCAGATTTTGAACTCAGAATAAATGCTACTTGCATAAAGTATCAAATAAAGAAAAATCTTGGGAGAAACCAAAATTCATGAAGCTATAATGAAACACATAGTTTAGTGTTGTATTTCTTCATTATTAATATTATTCTGCTAGCACTTAGCTATATTAGTCAACACATCTTCCTAATAGGATACTTTTTATCTAATTTATCAGGCTTTTTATTCTTTCATGCTTGTGTATCGCCTCCTTGATTTTGCAGTGATTAATCTGCAGTTTACATGCCATTTCACTTATTATAAAATACATTCCATAAACTTTTGGCATGTGTATTTTCCTGTATTTAAACGCACACAGCAACCCAACAACCAAGCACAAAGCAGATGTCTGACCAATGGCTGACTGATGAGTTGTGTTGCCCATATTCAGTGGGAAACAGAAACATGTAAAATTGTGTCTTAGAACACTCAAGCAACAACTGTGAAACTAATTTGGATTGTTATTCAACTGGTGATGCAACTTTTCAGATACGTATATATATTTGTATGTTATATATATATAGTATAATATATATATATATTATATATATTATATATTTTATATACATTATATATATTATATATATTATATATATGTATATATAATTATTATATATATATTACACACGCACGCACACACACGCATGCACGCACGCACGCACGCACGCACGCACACGCACGCACGCACGCACACACACGCACCACTACACACACAACACACACACACACACACACACACACACACACACACACACACACACACACACACACACACACACACACAACACACACACCACACTCACACACACACACACACACACACACACACACACACAACACACACACACACACACACACACACACACACACACACACACACACACACACACACACTCACACACACACACACACACACACACACACACACACACACACACACAACACACACACACACACACACACACACACACACACACACACACAC